AGCCCAGGCTTGACTAGGCTCAATCGGGAACACGTGGCTGGATGCTGGATTTAAGCCTTTAGCCAGAACTTGTGGCTATGCTTTCTCTCTCTCTCTCTCTCTCTCTCTCTCTCTCTCTCTCTCTCTCTCTCTGCATTCACACCTTGGACACTAGGTGGCTGTTTTGAAATTCCCTCAGATTTTCTACTGTTCTACACAGACTTGGTAAGTCAATTAAGATATCAGATATTTTAAAGGAAACTATTTAAAGGAGAATTTTTTTTTTTTTGGTTCTTCGAGACAGGGTTTCTCTGTGTAGCTTTGCACCTTTCCTGGAACTTGCTTGGTAGCCCAGGCTGGCCTCGAACTCACAGAGATCCACCTGGCTCTGCCTCCTGAGTGCTGGGATTAAAGGGGTGCACCACCACTGCCCGGCATTTTTTTAATGTGGAATTTTCCACATTAAAAGAATGGATTTTATGTGTACATTGGAAGAAAATTGGGCTTTGTTTGAAATTTTAGGCAGTCTGACAATGGAACAACTACATGAGAAGATTAATATTGACCGAATTATGCACTTCATTACTTTTCTTATCCATATTTTGCTATTTAAAAAGATGGTCAATTTAAGTGCCAGGATAAAAGTTTTAGAAAAAAGTTTTAGAAAAACCTGTTAAACCTGTTAAAATGAGTTATAGAGAAATTCAAATTCAGACAGAAGAAATTAACAGTGAAGTTGTTTCAAGATTGGATCATAAGGTTACAGAAAGAAAGCCTGTTTTCACACAATCACCCTTAATTTATCCGGTACCTGTGCAGCAGCTACCTGATCAAGAGAATGAACAAAATACTTGGGTTCCAGTTGAAATGTTAGACTTACGAAGATTTAAGGAGGCAATAGTATCTTATGGCATGCATTCCCCATTTGTAAAGCAAATGTTAAACTCCTGGTTAACATATAATAGGATTATACCATAGGACTGGCGGGAGCTGGCACATGCTGTTCTGGAACCCAGACAACAGCTGCAGTGGCAAATGTGGTTCAAGGAGGAGGCTAAAAATATAGAAAAATAATGGAGGGATAAAAAATACAAGTCTTCCAGGATCAGCTTATTGAAGAAGGTCAATATGCTTCAGTACAAACACAATGTTTATATGATGATCAAACCCTAATTCTATGTGGAATGGCAGCCTTGAATGCATGGGACAGAGTTGAGGAACCAAGAAAAAAAACTGAGTCATTTACAAAGGTTATACAGGGCCCCAAAGAATCTTTCACAGATTTCTTACAAAGATTGTAAGTACTGTACAGAGAATGGTCCCGAATTCAGAAGCTAGTCAGATAACAATTGAATCTTTGGCCTTTGAGAATGTGAATGCAGCATGCAAAAGAATAATCAGGCCATTAAAGGCAAGATCTGCACCTTTGGAAGATTGGATTAGAGACACAGTTAATATTGAGGCTTATGTCCATAATAATATGTGGGTAGGAGAAGCAATTTCAAAAGGTTTGAGGAATGTTAGATGTTTTGGATATGGAAAGCAAGGACATTTGAAAAGGGACTGTAAACAGGTCATTCCTAGAAACAATGTTTCTTCAAGGAACAATGGCAATGAACGCCCCTTCCTTCTGGAATATGCAGAAGGTGTGGTAAGGGAAAACACTGGACCAACGAATGTAGATCAACAGGGGACAGGCAAGGTAACCCTCTGCCTCGAGCTTTGGGAAACTCCCAGAGGGGCCTCAGGCAGGCCCCAAAGTGAATCCAGTTCAGACCTTTTCTGCAGTCATAGAGGATACCCCTATTCAGAGCAATTAAATAACCAAATGCCTATTGGAATAAACAAGGCTACTCAGAGTAATGGAACAACTGAGACAGAAAGAACAGATTCAGGAGAAAACATAAAGAAAATTTTTTGCCAAACTTCTATAAATGAACAAAGACCAAAAATAACAATAAAAATAAATGGTGTTTTGTTTTCTGGTCTGGTAGACACAGGTGCTGATGTTACCATAATTGCACCAGAATTTTGGCATCCAACTTGGCCTCTTCAGGAGGTAAATGTTCAACTGTTAGAAATTGAAACATTATCTCAAGTGAAACAAAGTGCAAGATGGCTCGAATGTATAGGTCCAGGAGGACAGAGAAGAAAATTAAAACCATATGTGGCTAACATAGCTATGAACCTGTGGGGTCAAGAATTGTTGCAACAATGGAATACTCAGATTAACATCCCTCCAACCTCAGAAACAAATCATAAACTAGCACATGTTTCTGAGAGAAATATTAGAAGATATTATTCTAATGAGTGGTCCATCCATATTATACAAGAACAGGGCACAACAGCTGATGATCTTCCAAAGACATCAACAGCTCTACCTTTAAAATGGTTAACAGACAAGCCTGGATATTATATACAAGAGTTACCCTTTTATATTTCCAATTTTTATTTTAAAAATTTGAGAATTCCATGTATGTATCTAACACATTTCAGCCATTCTCATTCTCTCCCACCTTTCTTATATCCCTTCCAACCCCTTCAAATACCCCTCTTTACAATTCCCTTTTTCACATTCATATATTTGGATTTTGTCTTGTGACCCACGAAGTTTAACCAGAGCTGTCTATGTGACCCTGGGTTTTAGAATATCCTCTGGAGCCTAGTTGGCTCTTCTATGAGTATGTATGTGAAATCAATGACTGCCTCTCTCCCATAATCTACCAGTACCAATAGTTCAGCAGAATGGAGTATGGTCCTGTTGAGTCTCTCTCTGAACCTTGCTGTGCTGATGAGGGACCCAGTCTAGTGCAGGCAGCTGTAGATGTTGTGAGACAGACCATGGTTGCAATGGCTGTGTGTGTCCTGCCCACAATATAGCATTTCCAACCTTTCTTCTCATCTTCTGGCTTCTATACTCTTTTCACCCTTCTTTCATAGTGTTCTAAGCTTTAGAGGGGGTGGAAAGGTGTCCCGTTTAGGGTTAAGTGCTCAAGTGTCACTTACTCTGGTATCTTGAGCAGCCATGAGTCTCTGCATTCACCACAGTTCATTACATGGGAATCTTTTCTGAGTAATGCTGGCTGTAGCATTTGTCCATGAGTATAAGTATAAATATTTGAAGACAGCTTGCAATCACATTTCTTTAAATGACTGTAGAAAATTTTCACCAAAGAACCTAAGACCCCAGTTGCTGTTTCTTTGGCTGGATTTACATGAGTATTGAAATCCCCTCCAGTGCCTGCCCTGAGGAGATTTCTCCCAGATTTCTGGGGAAGACACTCCAAGTGGTAGGGATACTAATCTGGGGGATATCAAATGAATCTACTAACATGAGACTCTTTAGTCCATTCACTTTATTCCTCTGAGACAAAATTCTATCTACACAGCTTCAATTCTATTCTCATACTTAGCTCATCTCTGTCCCTTCTCCTGTCCTCTCATCGTTCTAAGTTCTTTCCATCTCGTTCCATACGTCTTTGTTCCTCTTCATTCCTTCCCTTCCTCTTCCTGTGACCCATCTCCATACACCTACAATCAGCAATACACTGGCTCTGTCACTTTCTGGTCAGGTGGGCTAAGTCTGCTCAGTAGCTAGGAAACCTGCATCATAGCTTGAATGCATCTAGTATGAAAAAGCCCTTTATTTTCTGAGTTAATTGTTGGAGGGAAAGTCTAGTGGTGCCATTTGGATTGAAGAAGAAAAGAGGGTCTGAGCTTAATGCACAAGAAACAAAGCTATGTACCTAATATCTACCTAGCCTAGGCAGTGTCTCCATATAGATACTTACCTTAATTCAGGAGACTAGCAGGTAGTCTGGAATAATTGTCTATTTGCATTTTGTCCTTGGATGTTAAGAGGATTCTCAGATAAAATTAACTGTTAGAAATTCTTAGAAGAAAAATTAATTAGGAAAGCTACCATAGCATACAAGAGAATCATTGCAGGAACCGGCTAATATATATATTAGCTAATATCACCAAGCTAATATCACCAAGACTCCTTGAGGCTTGACTTTATCCTCTGGAAGAACTCTGCTTCTTCAGGTATTAGCCTTTGCTATAGTTAGTTGAATTCCTCCTTCATAGTTCTGTGGCCCGCAGCACAGGGGTTAAAAAGTTTTGCTGCTGTAGAAACCAGCCTTCAGTGCCTCAGGTATTGAGGGGAGCCATGGAGTTGTAGGACTAATCATTCCATTGACTTTTCTATCTGAGGGAGTAAAACTTATTTCTCTCAGGCCAGCAAAAAGGGAAAACACACACACACACACACACACACACACACACACACACACACACACACACACATCTCCAACATGTCATATCTCATATATGGTGTTGATGGGTAGCAAGTCTTCAGCAGGTCAGAGAAACTGAAGAGGAGATGCAGAGTAGGTGAATACTGGACAGACAAACAGACACATTAGGACTTTCCCGAGGGTCAAAGCTTAGATCTTCATTTTATTATTGTTTCCATTGCTTGTTTTACTCTATCCTTTTTCTGTTCTGTTCTTCTACCCTGATGTTTCTCTTCTTTCTCTTTCCTCATGACTTCCTTCTCATTACTTCCTAATGACTTCCTTCTCACTATTTCCTGATATCTTCCTTCTCACTACTTTCTGATGTCTTCCTTCTCACTACTTCCTGATGTCCTCATTCTCAATACTTGCTGAGGACTTCCTTCTCACTACTTCCTGATGTCCTCATTCTCAATACTTGCTGAGGACTTCCTTCTCACTACTTCCTTATGACTTCCTTCTCACTACTTCCTGATGTCTTCCTTCTCACTACTTCCTGATGACTTCCTTCTCACTACTTCCTGATGTCCTCATTCTCAATACTTGCTGAGGACTTCCTTCTCACTACTTCCTGATGACTTCCTTCTCTCTACTTCCTGATGACTCCCTTTTATACTACTTCCTGATGTCCTCCTTCTAACTTCTTTATTTTTTCCCTTACAGTTTATATGTCCCAGTAGAATCTTTTAAGCAGTACAAAAATGACAGTGTAGTTATGTTCTATTTTTAAGTGAATGTTTACAATGAATACAAGTAAAAAAAAATAACATGTTTCCCATTTCCCTTATATGATTAAACATTTTACACATTACAGGTTAAAAACAAATTGTCTCCAAGTACCCATATACTGGTCAACATTTATCATTTAGGATTCTCAGAGATCAGGAGCCTTTCAGTCATAATTGCTAACACAGACAGTAGTTTTTATAATTGCCAGGAAAACAGATAACTAGTTTCACTTTTCATATTTTAGAGTTCTACCCAATTATCATAACTTACCATACAATTCTTTGTTTTCTAGTTACATGAAGTATTATTTAAAGCTTTGTTTTATCTATGATGCACTCCAAAATCCATGAACACATATCTCAAAACCCAAAAGATCATGAGCCAATTCCTCGGACACAATTGTTTTCTTTAATCATTCACCTAAACCACAGTCTATAGGCTCCTCAAGAGAAACTCCTAAGTCCCAGCTGATGACACTCCCTTGGTCCTATTTTCTATCCTATGCAGCCCCTGCTTTATCAGGGGTGGGGACAACACTATATCCTACTTTACCTATAATAATTTTCCCACTAAAGTATCCTCTATCGTAATACCTTACTACATTTGTTAAAAACCCTTCATCATCAAAATTCTATTTAAACTACCACTATTATTGTATAAAATCATTACTTCAGTTAAACAGTACAGGTCAAGAGGAAATCATTTTCATAATAATCCATAGGAAAAATGCCCAGTAGGATGGGATATTTCCATAAGATAAACATAAACATTAAAGGCAGTAGGCATTCCCCCACCCCCATTCACAAAATTCATTCCAGAGAAAAGAATGGCAGCAGCAAACCCATGAAGGCACAGCACTAGCAAGAGACATTCAGAAGCCAAAGCCCCCAGGGCTTTGCCTATCCAAGATTCACCCATCAGTACCTGGCATTCTGGTGGGCCAAACTTCTGAATTCAAGTCCTACCTGCTGCTCCTATGACATGACCACCAGCAGAGTTTTGATTTTTTTTTAAATGTCAGATTAATTCAAAGAAAGTGGAAGAGTGACTTAAAAATGTCTCTTTTTCTTAAGAGCTAATAGCTTCACATAGGTAATTGATAAAAAGATAATCATTATGCAAGATAAGGCCACGTGATTCTTCCAGAAGCCCCATGATGAGAGATCGATGCCCTGGATCGTCAAGAATTCTTCACCAGTACATCTGTAATTCAACACACACACAAATATGTCAAAGTTTATTCAGTACATTCACTGATTCTTCCTTTTAAAAATTCATAGTTTCAACACATTATTAAAAGTTTCTTCTTTATATTTAATTGGTAGTAGTAACGTTATACTTACAAATTTGGTATATATTATGTCAATCTAACCTACTTATATTAGGTCACTTTGTTAATTTCAAAAATCATCCAAAGAGGCATAGTTATCACATCTATTTAAAAGCATAGAATGCTGTGGGATGGTCTTTTTGTCAAATGTGTTGCTGATTAGTCATTAAATAAAACACTGATTGGCCATTGGCTAGGCAGGAAGTGTAGGCGGGACAAGGAGGAGAATAAAGCTGGGAAATGGAAGGCTGAGTCAGAGAGACACTGCCAGCCGCCACGATGACAAACAGCATGTGAAGATGCCGGTAAGCCACGAGCCATGTGGCAAGGTATAGATTTATGGAAATGGATTAATTTAAGCAGTAAGAACAGTTAGCAAGAAGCCTGCCACGGCCATACAGTTTGAAACCAATATAAGTCTCTGTGTTTACTTGGTCGGGTTTGAGAGGCTGTGGGACTGGCAGGTGAGAGAGATTTGTTCTGACTGTGGGCCAGGCAGGAAAACTTAAGCTACAAATGGCGTCCAACGTGGTGGCAAGAGTTTCCACCTAAAAACTGAGAAAAAAGATTCTAAAACGGAGCTAAAAATAGTTCCTAATTGTCTCTCTCAAATGAGCGGCAGCTGCTGGTTTGAGCTACTGGTGGGTTCCTTGCATGCGAGCTCAACCTGCCATATGGCGGGAGTGGGGCCTTTGCAAGTGGCACTTTGAGCTGCGTGGTGGATTTAGCCTTTGCTGGTGCAGAGCAAAAGGGGAGGTTTCTGGACTACACGCTCTTTGGATAAAAGCATAGACCCACATAGCTCCCAGAGCTGGTGGTAAACGTAGCCATGTTGGGAAGCTGAGGTGGGCGGAGCCAGCAGCCACAGCTGCTGCAGTTTAAAGCAACAGATTCACAATAAGACAGATTCAGATGTAATAGTTTACAGTGTGTGTAAAATATACGTAGGCTTGAAAGAGACAAAAAAGGTGATATATAAAGTTATATAAACAAATACATAGTTTTAAAAATAAAGTCTTTAAACAGACAGTAATATTAATATAAAAAATAAGCCACGTAAAGATGAGTATTACACAGAGAATCTGGATTGTGTTGTCTTTGGGACTTTTAACTGCAGAAAAACATTTGATTGTAAAAGCTGTTGAGTTATGTCAAAATGTATACTTTAAAGGTACCTTGACTTCAAAATTTGGATATAAGGATATGTTGCTTTGGAAAAGAGTCTCTTTTGTTTCCACAGAAAGCCAGAGGCTATGGATTTGTTCAAGATTAAGATACATCAGGTTTGACCAGCCAAGACCCCCTGAAACGTGACACCAAGGCCCAGATGATCCAACATCCAGAATGGTTTCAAGGCATCTGGCTCAGATGATACAGCCTCATGGACTATTCCATAATCCTAAAATTTTCTTTGTGTTCCCATAAGATACAGCGCCCCCCTCCAGCAGGAAGTAGTAAGAGAAGCTACGCCCAAATTCCCAAATTATATGTAATTCTACTTTGTTAAGGTTAAAACCTTCCTTTTTGAAAAAAAAAAGGGGAAGTGCTGTGGAATGGTCTTTTTGTCAAATGTGTTGCTGATTAGTCATTAAATAAAACACTGATTGGCCATTGGCTAGGCAGGAAGTGTAGGCGGGACAAGGAGGAGAATAAAGCTGGGAAGTGGAAGGCTGAGTCAGAGAGACACTGCCAGCCGCCACGATGACAAACAGCATGTGAAGATGCCGGTAAGCCACGAGCCATGTGGCAAGGTATAGATTTATGGAAATGGATTAATTTAAGCAGTAAGAACAGTTAGCAAGAAGCCTGCCACGGCCATACAGTTTGAAACCAATATAAGTCTCTGTGTTTACTTGGTCGGGTTTGAGAGGCTGTGGGACTGGCAGGTGAGAGAGATTTGTTCTGACTGTGGGCCAGGCAGGAAAACTTAAGCTACAATAGAGGAAGTAGGCTCAGTAAACAAGTCCGAGTTTAGAGAGTCACATTAATGTCCAACTTTGTAGTCTTCATTGTGTCTTTCATTTCTAAATCTACAATGCTGCCTTCTCCTCAAAGGGCAAAGGCATGGATGAAGGACTTGTTTCTCCCGAAGTGGAAAGCCTCAGCTTCCTAACAACACACAGACACTCTAAGAGATCAAAGTTTTGTGCAATTCTGCTGACTCAGTAGACAGTCATGCAATAAACACAGCATCGAATTCTAGACGGAGGACCAGAGGAGACTAAGGGTTTCTGCCAGGAGTCAGTCCATTGCTGTCAGCTCTTCTACTAAGGGAGCATGACAACCACAGATGCTCAGCTATGGAACATCCCCAGCAGCCCATGGCTACAGACAGAGCCTGGGTAGCAGTTGGAGTACAACAGGATGCAAGGCCCTGACACAGGTTAGAAAAGCAGCTGCTGCTAAAAATTCTGGATGTACTACAATCACTACCTGTGTGTCTCTATCTCTGTGTCTCCATCTCTGTCAGTCTCCATCCCTGTGTGTTTGTATCCCTGTGTGTCTCCATCTCTGTGTGTCTCCATCCCTGTGTGTCTCCATCCCTGTGTGTCTCCATCTCTGTGTGTCTCCATCCCTGTGTGTCTCCATCCCTGTGTGTCTCCATCTCTGTGTGTCTCCATCTCTGTGTATATCCATTCCCTTGTATTTCTTAGGATTTAACAGTTCTCAAATCTACTGAAAGGGCAGATTTCTTCTTCCTCTTGTGAAGATAATCCTTTTGTGAGTTTGAGGTCTGTGGATGGCCTGTCTCTGGTTTCACTTTACCCATCTCCATCCTTCTGACAAGAAACTGGTAAGAAATTTGTATTAGAAGGATGCCAAACCACACCAGGAGAGAGGAGATTTTTGGAAACAAGATATCCCCCATACTTGTTTTCTTATCAGTAATTCAAACACAATTTGGGTTACTACTATTCATTATTATTTTGAAAATCCATGAGAGATTTAGCATATCAGCATGTTCCTATCTCGTTTATCTATCAAAATCAAATCAATGAGAGCAATTGTAAAAAGGGAAGGTTTTGAAACTTTAAAATAATACACTTTAATTTTATTAAAAATATTTTGTTTCATGGCTGGGCGGTGGTGGCGCACGCCTTTAATCCCAGCACTCGGGAGGCAGAGCCTCTGTGAGTTCAAGGCCAGCCTGGACTACCAAGTGAGTTCCAGGAAAGGCGCAAAGCTACACAGAGAAACCCTGTCTCGAAAAACCAAAAAAAAAAAAATTTGTTTCTATTTTAATGGTATTAGACAAAAATGATTTTTCCTTCTCAACATACTGAACTACATGTTTCTTTCATTGCAGGTCATATCCTCTGATAGGACATTTTCACACACAAACACACACACACACACACACACACACACACACACACACACACACACACCCCTTTAATTTTTTTGAGGTCTTCTAGAGTGTGAGGCAGAGGGAAGACCCTGAATGCTTGCAGGCAAAGCTCTGTCCTTTTGGTCCTTGCTGCCCTGATGTTCTTGGGCTCTGCTCACAGGTACCATAGTCTATACATGTAGAAACTGTATGCCCTTCTTAACTATCAGAGCAGCCTAGGTCAAACTCAAATGTTCTGAAACAAGGAACTCAAATCCACAATCAAGACACCAAAACCATTTTTCAAAGGCCCCAAAGAACCCTTTCTGCACATTCTACATCATAGAGCAGTAGGATCAAAACACATCCATATGTACATTGGTTACAATGATTCTTTCTGTGGAACCAGGAGAGGACAGAGTGCTAATCCTGAAAGTATGGGTTTTCCTTCTGAGTCTAGGAGCATTCTATGTCCCCATTATGACACTGAACTCAAGCTTACATTACATAGTTCTGACATCTACTGACTTCTGCTGTGTTATGTTCTGTACAGAAGTTTTGTCCCAGGAATTCATTGTGCAGCAAAGCCTGTAACACAAACAGGAACAGGGAAAGGCAAATAGTTTAACATTTCCAAAAGTTTCCAAAAAAAAAAATACAACTATAAATTGAAATTCAATCTTGACTGTAATTTGCAAAAAAAAAAAAAAAAAAAAAAAAAATTAAATGAACAAACCCTTACCAAGTTCAGTCTGCCCAGCAAAGCAGTGCCCCTCCCTCACACTCAGGAGGTTTAGGATTGAAATGATGGTTCTTCCCAACTACTAAGAGGTGGACTCTCTAACCAGATTACCTCAGGCACCTCCTTCTCTTATAGATAACCATGTAAACACTGTAATTAAAACAATACTATGATTTATACTAACAATATTTCTTGCTTCTTTTTATCAAAACCAGTTGTGATTATGGGAGTAAGAAAGTCTGTTAAGACACACTTTACTGCAGAGAAAGCTTGGCAAAGCCAATATGGCTATGAGTATCACATGGTTTCTATTTCTTTTAATTTCTTGATATAAACTATATATCTTAGTTCCTGATCCTTTCATTATTTCCTTATTGGGTATAATCACAACTGTATGCTTTTCATCATATCATCTATGTTTCCTCTTTACTTTGGGATTTTTCTCACTCTTTATTTCCCTTAAATAACACATGACTGGGGAAAACCCCAGATGACTCACTGACCTTTGGCTAGAATTACAGGAAAGTTCTCATCTTTTGCTCCTGGAAGGAAAATCCTGGGCAGCTGCTGGTTAGAGATTACAGCTGGGGAAAGGACTTGGTTGGGATTCATTTCAGTTGCTACAGTTGGAGACCCCAAGGACAGTGACAGACAGGACAACTTACTGTAAATCCATAATGAGGAATGTTGAGGTACTGAATCCACGAAAGTTCAGGTAGTGAGATTCCTGAATATAGTGACATACCTGAGAAAAACTATGAAGAACAAAAGCATGAATTAGAACCAGTCTATTGACTAAGAATTCTAGACAAGTTCCTCACTCTTCAAGACCCCTTCATCCTTCTGACCGTTTCTGCTCAGACCAGCTTTTATTTATTTTTTTTATTAAGAAATTTTCTACTCACTCTACATACCACCCACAGATCCCACTTTCTCCTTCCTCCCACCCCCCCAGCCCTCTCTCCCAAGCCACCCCACATCCCCACATCCACCAAATCAAGGTCTCCCATGGGAAGTCAGCAGAGCCTTGCACACTGAGCCTAGGCAGGTCCAAGCCCCTTCCCACTGCACCAAGGCTGTGCAAGGCATCACACTACACGTACCGGATTCCCAAAAGCCTACCCATGCACTAGGGATGAAACAGATCCCGATCCCCCTGCCTGGGTGCCCCCCAAACAGTTCGAGCCAAACAATGGTCTTTCATATCTAGAGGGCCTAGTCTAGTCACATGGGGGCTCCACAGCTACTAGTTTACAGTTCATGGGCTTCCATTAGTGTGGCCGGCTCAGACCAGCTTTTTAAAACATTCTTTCATTTAACTCTATACAGAATTCTTCTTCTTCTTCTTCTTCTTCTTCTTCTTCTTCTTCTTCTTCTTCTTCTTCTTCTTCTTTTCCAAATCCAAGGCTCTTTGTGGTTTTTAAACAAGGACCTGCCACCCCACTCTGCAGGAGCCAAATCTACATATATTTGTTATGAGCATTCTTTAAACTTTAAATACTCCCATCCTACATATTTAAAATCCTCTTTAGATTCCTTATAATATCAAATTTATTTAGTTATATAGTTTATACTGCATAATTCATGGGATGGCAACATTCAGAGCACAAGAATCATTTGTTTCATATATTTTCAATATATGATTGGTTGAATCTTTGACAATATGACAGGCCAACTGTAGTGAATATTCTAATAAAATTGCAGCTATCTAAGAACACATGCTAGAAGAACACTGTCTTGGCTCATTTTATATCAACTTGACATAAGCTAAATTCACTGGGGAGTGGGGACCCTTAAGACAAAAGAAATGTCTGTAGGGAAGAGCTTGGTCCTACCTCAACTTGGTGTCCCATGCTTTCTTCAAGCCCATGGGAGGCCTGCCCCTTTCTGAATGGAGAAGGAGGTAGAATGGATGGGGATGGGGTAGGCATGAGTCAGGGGGAGGGAACAGGAGGAGAGAAAGGAGGGGACACTGTGGTTGTTATGTAAAATAAACAAAAATGTTAATAAAATAAAATAAAATTACAAAACAAAATGTCTCTATAAAATCATCTATAGGCAAGCTAGTAAGACATTTTCTTAACTAGCGATTGATATGACAGGGTCCAGACCATTTGTGGGTGTAACCATCCCTGGTCTGGACACCCTAGGTTCTAAAAGAAAGCAGACTGAGTGAGCCATTAGAACAAGCCAGTAAGCAGCACCCCTCCATGGTCTCTGCCTCAGCTCCTGCCTCCAGGATCCTACCTGCTTAAGTTCCTATTCTGATTTCCTTCAGTGATGAACAGTGATATGTAAGTGTAAATAAAAAGTAAGCTAAATAAATCATTTTCTCCCAACTTGCTTTTTAGTCATGGTGTTTCCTCACAGCAATAAAAACTCTAACTAGGACAAATACTGAACATTATATACCCACTTCTACTTCCAAGAATCAATAAATCTTGTTATTTATGTGTTTTGACTCTCTATTCATGACTTTAGGAATAATTTTGGATTCTATGCAATCCTCATCAAAATTCCAATATAATTCCAAGAAATTGAAAAACAATATGCTGTGGGATGGTCTGTATGTCAAATGTGTTGCTGATTGGTCAATAAATAAATAACTGATTGGCCAGTGGCTAGGCAGGAAGTATAGGCGGGACAAGGAGGAGAATAAAGCTGGGAAGTGGAAGGCTGAGTCAGAGAGACACTGCCAGCCGTCATGATGAGAAACAGCATGTGAAGGTGCCGGTAAGCCAGGAGCCATGTGGCAAGGTATAGCTTTATGGAAATGGATTAGTTTAAGCTGTAAGAACAGTTAGCAAGAAGCCTGCCACGGCCATACAGTTTGTAACCAATACAAGTCTCTGTGTTTACTTGGTTGGGTCTGAGCAGTTGTGGGACTGGCAAGTGAGAGAGATTTGTCTTGACTGTGGGCCAGGCAGGAAAACTCTAGCTACAACAATACTAAATTTCACATGGAAATACAAAAGACTCAGATTAGCAGAACGATCCTGAATAAGGAAACTGCTAGAGGTATCATCAACCACTGGGGGTATCCCTACCCATTTTTTGAAAGAATCCATCCCAATGTTGTGTGATGAACAATTCATCTTCTCTATGGATAAGAGGCTTTCAGTGGGCCTACCTGCATGTCTTGGAATAAGAGCAACAGACTCTGGAAAATTTTACCACCCCATGTGTCCTTGTCTCATAAAGAGGGTAACATGCCATTCCCTCTGCTAGGACCAGGGTCCCATTCAAAGGAAAAGGACACTTGAGCCTGGGGATGTCCTTCCATGCAAGTGTAACAATTGCTCCTTGGGCACATGCACTGTATAGTTAACACAGTTTACCCAAGTATTCAATTCACTACATTAGTTTTATAAGTACATTATCAAAAGAAAAAATAAAGTGAACGCTAATAGCACTATGTCCTTTAGGTAATGAGGTATTGTTAGGTTCCTTTTGAGGATTAATTTTAAAGACTGCATGTAGCCAGTAAGACTCCTGTGGACAAGCCTGCCCACCACCAACACCCATTGGACTCTGTAATCTATAAACCCCACTCACTCTACCAAACCTGCCCATCCTCTGAGACTGCAGTTGCTTCCTGAGACATAGACTCTGCCAGCCCAGATTGGACCGAGAGGTGAGTGACTGTTTTCCTAGCTGGTCATCCCAGTCTCTAGGCCCTAGGTCCAGGGACATAACCTATGCTCCCTTAACCCCACCCAATGCAGCCTCAGTTGCAGGCCAGCAAACAAGACTCCTGCAGACAGGCCTGCCCACCACCACCCCCCCTTTGGACCCTGTAATCTATAAGCCACACTCCATTCCCCAAAACTACCCATCTCCTGAAACTTCAAGGGCTCCCTGAGACAAAGACTTCACCAGCTCCAGTTGGACCAAGAGGTAAGTGATAGTTCACTTAGACAGTCACCCAAGTCCCTAGGTCATAGACTGGAGCACAACCCCTGTCTTCTTAACCCACTCATTGCAGTCCCAGTTGCTGGCCAATAGGTAAGACTCCTGCTGTCAGGGACTCTGTAATCTATAAGCCCTACTCCATTCCCCAAATCTACCTATCCCCTGAGACTTCAGTGGCTCACTAAGACACAGACTCCACCAGCTCTAATTGGACCAAGAGTGCCAATTGGACCAAGAGAGGCTCCCTGAGAAACAGACACTGCTTGCACCGACTGGAGGAAGTGATGGGTAAATGCCAGTGCAAGAATACATTCAACAACATAAAGAACAATATGGCACCACCAGAACCTAGCAGCTCTACAACAGAAAGACATGAGCATCCCAATGTAGAAGAAAACAACATTAAAAAAATAACTTTATGATATAACACCAGTAGCACAGACACTGAGAGAAACAATCAATCAATGGGACCTCTTGAAACTAAGAAGCCTTTGTAGGGCAAAGGACATGGTCAACAAGAAAAAACGACAGTCTACAGAATGGAAAAAGATTTTCACCAACCCCACATCTGACAGAGGACTGATATCCATAACATATAAAGAACTCAAGAAATTAGACATCAAAATACCCAACAGTCCAATTAAAAAATGGGCTATAGAGCTAAATAGAGAATTCTCAACAGAAGAAGCTCAAATGGCTGAAAGACATTTAAGGAATTGCTCAACATCATTAGTCATCAGGGAAATGCAAATCAAAATGACTCTGAGATACCATCTTACATCTGTCAGAATGGCTAAGATCAAAAACACTGAAGACAGCTTATGTTGGAGAGGATGTGGTGCAAGGGAAACATTCCTACATTGTTGGTGGGAATGCAAATTTGTACAGCCACTTTGGAAATCAATATGGCACTTTCTTAGAAAATTGGGAATCAATCTCCCTCAAGATCCAGCTATACCACTCTTGGGCATATACCCAAGGAATGCTCAATCATAACACAAGGACACATGCCCTTCAACTGAAGAATGGATAAATAAAATGTGGTACATATACACAATGGAGTACTACTCAGCAGAGAAAAACAATGACATCATGAGGTTTGCAGGCAAATGGATGGAACTAGAAAAAAAAATCATCCTGAGTGAGGTAACCCAGACTCAGAAAGACAAACATGGTATGTACTCACTCATAAGTGGATACTAGATGTAAAGCAAAGGATAACCAGACCGCAACTCACAACTCCAGGGCGGCTACCTAGTAAGGAGAACCCTGAGAAAGACACAGGCATCGCCCAATGACAGAGAAATGGGTGAGATCTACATGAGCAAACTGGGTGTGGGGGTGCTAATGGAGGGCAAGGGTCGGGGGAAAGTGAGCTTAGGGGATCAGCAGGTCCCAGCTGGATCAGGAACAGAGTAGGAGAACAAGGAAAGAGATACTATGATAAATGAAGACCCCATGGGAATGGGAAGAAGCAGAGTGCTAGAGAGGTCCCCAGAAAGCAACAAATATACCTCCACTGTAGACTACTGACAATGGTCGAGAGAGTGCCTGAGTTGATCTACTCTGATGATTGTATGGCCAAACACTCTAACAGTCATGATAGAACTCTCATCCAGTGACTGATGGAAGCAGATGCAGAGATCCATGACCAAACCCCAGGTGGAGCTCCATTAGTCCAACTGGCGAGAGAGAGGAGGGGTGTAGCCTTGGTGTAGGGAGGAGGGGACTGGACCTGCCTCAACTGAATCCACCAGGTTGGGTTGACTCCCCAGGGGAGACCTTGCCCTGAAGTATGTGGGAATGGGGGGTGGGTTGGGTGGGAAGGCTGGGGGTGGGCGGA